TTTAGTGTACCGTAACATTTGCAAGTAGTTTCTGCTTCCGTAAGATGTTTGTTATCAGCCCAGTATGCGCTAATTCCGACCTAGGGGAATTGTACTACGTCTGGCATCGACTACACCACAAATGTGTGTAGAATACAAAAAAGAGGTTAATGTCTAAAAATCTCTCATTGTCAAGTAAGTTTTAAGACAAAACGATGAAAGTATTAAGTGCAAAAGTACACTAAGTGAGGTGCGAGGTGATTCAATCTGTTTATTATGCCAAGAGTGATAAGACGAGAATGTTTTCAACAGCTTAGTGTGAGGCTGCTTGATCATTTAGAGAAATAGCCTCCAGGGTGCACAGAAGCCCGTGGTGATGGTCATGGAATCAAAAACACCGTACACGAAGAGTTAGAGATACAGGACGTGTCATAAGAACTGCTCCATGCCAAGATCGCCACCTTAGGCGGCAGACAGTCAAATCGATTTGTTGACTTGACCCCTAGATCCCGATCTTTCACCTATTGAACATGTCGGGGACATTCTGAGGAGAATATTACTCCGTTTATCCCATCCTCCTCAGACTCCAGCGGCACGAGGTACAACTAGTCTAGGATGGGATACCTCATGAGGAAATCGATCATCTGATTAGGTGAATAACCAGACGTGTTTCTGAGTTCATAAGACATAGTGGAGGTTCACCAAATAATTAGTTTTTCACATAATCTTCAACAGCACGATGTTTCTGAAATGTTGATCAATTAGTTATCCACTCTAAGAGACATGTATTTACTTTAAATTCTGAGTCTGAGCATGAAAACTGTGGTATACTAATAACAAAAAAATAATTTTAAACCCACTTCTAGATGCACATTACAAAGGATTTCCCTTTCAATCAAGATAAATAACAGAGCTTCTCGTCTCGGCATTCTGAAAATTTCGGTCGCTCTCCGAAGTGTTTTCTTTTCTTTTTTGCGTCTACTGTGTGTACTGAAATCTAATGTACAATCAGTTGCTCTCCATCACCCACAATTTTTTAAAGAAGGAAGAATATAAAATATAAATCTAAATCCTAAATTATAAGCGACCTAGTAAATTCTTAAAAATTAAAAAATATAACAAATTTTGGTTCTTTTTTCGCTTGCATTGGCCAGGAGCGGTTTCACGTTTAATGGTCCAGCAGAGGTCCGCCAGCATGTTTGTGGTTCATTTTCCACTATAGCGCTCCTCCATCTGAGCAATTTGCCGATGAAATTTCGTCTGAAACTGCACAAAAATTGTCAGGGAAAAATACTAAATGGGAGTGAAGAAAATGCAGCTTAAGTGACATGCTACCTAAGACCTTATAAGGAAGGATAAGTTCTTCTACTAGATCATCATTGTAGTTGTCCGACATTTTGTTGCCTAGGAAGTTGCTACATTTTTGAAGGCATTCCATGCCATTTTTCCGTTCAAGTGTAGTTTTAAGATGTTTGTCCTTAGAAAGTTCTCGTATGTGAAGTCCATCACTTATACGCGGGAATTTCCATCTCAGATAAAAGAATGCATTTCCTTCTCTACTAAGGGTTCATTAAGGACATTTTTCTGGCCGTGCACAACGGTCTCACGTAACGACCAGAGTTTAAATAAATAATGTTGGTTTCTGGCTCTGCTGTCCCGTTCACATAAAACACAACAATATTTTGTGAAGCCACTCTGCAGTCCTGTAAGCAATGCAATAACTTTGAGATCGGCACAGATATTCCAGTTATGATCTTCGTATTTCATGCTTTGGAGTAAAATGGGCATGTTCTGGTATGTTTCTTTCATATTTACAGCATGACCAACGGGAACCGATGACCATACGTTTCCATTGAACAACAAAACTGCCTTTAGACTTGTGTTCGAAGAGTCAATAAATAGTTGCCACTCGGTAGGTACATAGGAAATGCCAAGTTCATTCAGGAAACTTGGAATATTATGACAGTAAACTAAGTCATTTTTCATATGGAAAAGTACACACACCCGTTTATAAAAGGTTCCTTTGCTGCAAACTAGATCTAAGTAGATCATTGACTTCATGAGATACAAAATGTGGCTGTTTGCATTCAAAAACGACTTTCTCTCCAAAACTTGGACCGGCTTCTGGCTCCTCTGTGTCAGAATCACATTTCTTTGGAGGCTTCGGAACAGGTATGCTAGAAGAGTCATGAGACACAGGTCTACTGGCTGAGGGGATATTAGGATGCACTATATTATGCTTGTTTTTACTAGAAAATTCCAGAGTTGATGATAAGCAAAAGTAACAATCACCAACATGATTCTTAGGTTCCCGCCAAATCAGTGACGGCTCGTGGCAAAATAAAACAGGTGTTCTGCAAATCCGAGCTTACCGATCACCTTCCCGTTGAAATTTTCGATAGTCGAAATAACCTCCTTTTCAATGAACAGCATCGACAACGCTGTAAGGCGATTCTGGGTCATAGTATTACGAAGAAAAGTCTTGATTCTTTTCAATGTTGAGAAATTTCGCTCAGCCTCTGATGTTGACAGAGGAGTTGTAAGAACAATTTCTAATAGCTGTTTTGTTTCTTTTAGTGTTTCCTCCAAACTATTTTGTATAAAAAATTTCAAAAGAGACAGAGTTCCATGTAAATCTCGGCAATCATTCCGTGCATAAATAACAGACTATTCTGTCTTTAAACGACTTTTTTCTAATTCGGGATAAGCCAAGCAGGCAGTTTCCAACTTGTCATCAGGAAACTTACCACAGTGTTCTCCAAAGTGTTCATGGAAAAAAAGGGATGCGGCTACCAAATGATCTTTAAATTGAAATCTGACATTTGCAGAATTCACCATATTGTCGCATACTTCTAATGCGGCAACTCGGTGATCGTGACTGCTATTATTACGTCGTCCCCTTTTGTTGCCTTACGGTTCAGTGCAAATACTTTTGGCTTCATTTATTATGTTGTCAAATCTATTTCTCACATCGACAATACATTTTTCAAAATTATCGATAACCGTTTTAAATTGCGCTGGCTCGGTTTTTCTCTTCTGCAACTGGTTGAACAAGATGTCAACGTGAGGCATGACATGATGAAAAAATATCAACCAAAACACGGAAACAGAATCGTTTAACATACGGCGAATACCGCAAGCTGCCTTGCAAACGGTTTCATTAGTGAAATTTTCTTCTATTTCTTCCTTGCATTCAATGGGTGATTCTCTGTTCTCAACCACTACATTTATTGTTCGAATATTAAAATTCCAAGTTGTTGCTTCTTTTCCCCACAATTCTGTTCAGCAACTCTACGCGTTGAGGAGAATTATTAAAAAATCCCGGAATATCTTTCAAATCCCCAAAGAAAACCCGAACTTCAGCATTTTCGGAAGCAGCTTGGGACATAATCAGGTTTAACTGATGCGCATAGCAATGCACATAGTGAGCAAATGGATATCTTTGTTTAATTTTTGCCTATACTCCAGCATTATGTCCGCTCATTACCGCGGCTCCATCATAGCTTTGTGAAATCAGCTCGTTAGGGAAATTTCCTATTAATGGATCTACAACGCTCAAAATATGTCTTGTGAGAGTATCAGCGTCACATTTTTCGGGATTCATATAATTCCAAAAACGTTCTACTGTTTCGCCGTTAAATACGTATCTGAAAATTGTTACCAGTTGGGTTTTCCCCGAAATGTCCGTTGTTTCATCTGCTATTATCGCCAGATACGAGGCTCTGTTAATCTGTTTTACTATTTCTTCATGACAAACTTCAAGAATACAATCCAATAGATCGTTTAGTATTTCTTTCGAAGTTCGAATATTGTAGCATATTTTATGTGTTCGCTTAAGGTTGTCTCACCTCAGCAGAAAAATTAATCAGTCCACGAAATATTCCAGGGTTTTGGGAGTTCTCGGTTTCGTCGTTGCTCCGTAGCGCCAATTCAAATGCTCCGCAAAATTTAGATTATTTTTGATAGAACGTACCTGTTTTTTGTAACGGTATTATTATGCTGTTGTATATTTCTTCAATATGCTGAATCTAACTGAGCTCTGATGTTAACAGTCCACAATAAAGCCAATTCCATCGAATTATGAAGATGTGTTTTAGGCCCGGTTTTTCAATCGCAGGTTAACTACGACCTTGGTCTTAACTTATAGTTATTTATGAAAAATCGTTTTTCAATATCATGTTTATGGTAAAACGGTAGTTAACTTTAACCAGAAGACCATCTATGAGTTAACTAGAAAGGCTGTAGTTAAATAGCAATGCCTGACGTTTCCTTGACATAAATTTAGACGTTTGTTCAAAAAATCACAACAAATCCATATCAATCTATCGATTAGTTTAAGCTATAAACACGTTTATGGATTACGACGTGAATGCGTATAGCAGTGATAAAGACGCAAGAAGGCCAAAAATAATCCGCCATCGGCCGAATTACTTTGATGACCTTGATTTCCTTGCAAGATTTCGCCTTTCAAAAAATACTGTTGAAACTCTCCTGGACCAAGTCTATGAAGATTTAGTATATCCTACAAGCAGGTAGAAGTATATATTATCGTTTATTTCCATATTTCTACATGACTTTGTTATTCCAGGAATAACTGCTTAACGCCCAAACAGCAGCTGTTGTTAGCACTGCGCTATTACGCCAATGGAAATTTTTTTAACTGTTGCTGGTGATTTTGCTGGGGTTTCCAAATCAACTGCATCTTACTAATAATTATTTTGCAAATTTGTAAATCGATTCAATAGTTTCACTGATGCTCAGTGAATGACTCGATACTAGATGAAAGTTGTTTAGTATAAGATCTGTGATAATCCATGGCAAGTGGATAAGAGTTGTGGCCAAAATTGTTGGTGCCCAAAAAAGGTGCACACGGCATTCGAAAAAAGATGTCTCAAGCCTCAAAATGGACACTCGTTCGATCTTTTTGGACACCTAAAGCTTTCGCCATAGCTCTCATCTACTTGACATATGAATTATCCCCTATTTCTTGTAACTACAGAATCAAAATAAACATGATTTTCTGAAAACAGTTTATTATTAAAATAACATATTGTCCTCAAGAATGAGAAATACAAAAAAAATGAGTGAAAGTGAAAATATTCCAGAAATTAACAAAATAAATCCTTTGTTTTCTACTTATATAATGCATTGATCTGTAAATCTAACAGCTGAACCTCTTTTTGATATATTTCCATTTGTGTTCTTCAATGAATTTTTATTTTTGTAGTTTCACAAAATTCAGCTTTTTTCCATTAGTAGATAGTTAACAGAAATATATTTTCTATTTTGTTCTGTTTTCGTACATGATAGCTTTCCAGTTTTGGGCCTCTTCAGTTGTTGGGGAGTATAGGAGCTCCATTTCCCATTATTGAAGACCACTTCACTGTCATCAGTTCTTTGCATCATGAACTAAAAAATGAATAATTATAATAATAACCAGCTCTTCTTGGTCACTACAGTCATCATCATAACTGTTTGTCAAACCTTCTAATTGTGGTCCCATTATTTCTTGTAACTGTGTATCAATAAAATCGAATGCTTGTAATTGGCATGAACCTCCCCCTATTTTGATTATATTGCTTTTGTTTGTAGCAAATTTGCTTTTTGTTTTTTTTTTCTTTAAGTTGAAACATTTATCTCGTAGAGTTTTTACCTCTCCGTGGCACCCTGTTAGAAATTTTAGCAACAAGAATAGAGGTATTGTGTGTCCCCTTTATTTTTGGATTGTAGATTGCAAGAGTGATGTTAAAAAGGTGGAAAATATGATATTTAGCGGGTATTCTCAACCTAATTGTTTTTTGACCTTAGTGTTCATTAGACATTGCATTTGCAACCTTTTTTATCACCATTTCTATAACGCCGTCTATAGGATCTACCTCTAAACATTTGTACGAGCAATGTTGGAGAAAATTTACCTTGCTCCACGAAGGTTTTACGTTTTATTCGTTTTTAATGAAATTTCCGGATTTCGATTTTGGCTGTTTTAAGGAATTTCATTCAATCGAACTGTCATGTATAACGTATGACACGGGACACAGATGCATAAATATATGTTGAACTTCTGGTAAGTTAACTGACGCTGTCAAAATACTTGAAAAACGCATTTGCAAGTACCTACAAGTTAACTTCCTGGCGATAGTTAACTAACCAAAAAGTTAACTTGCGATTGAAAAACCGGGCCTTAGAGTTCTCATGCTTCTTAATTTTTTCACTCAGGTGCACTAAATCTGTAACACCTACCTCCGTCCAAGCTTTGTCACCCCCAAAAAGTATGCAAGGGAAGCAGAAAAGGGCATTCTTCATGTTGCACTCACAAATCCAGTCATTTCTGGTGTAAATCTCCCTGCTGAAATGCCGCATATAGCCCTTGCCCGACTAACGGGCATAAATATGTCCGGCAGCGGTCGCCTGACACCTTCAGCTCAATTTTTTCTTCAAATGTGTATTTCCAGAATCGTTTCACGCTGATAAGTCTGTAAACCACATCCATTCCTTCTACACTGCCACAGTCAGTCAGTGAGTCACTGGTCACTCAACGTAAGACCCAAAATACCTGAATAAAAAATTTTTCGTATTCAAATTTTAAGCCACGTCACGCGACTAGACCAATATGCCAATACCGACGACCGAGCACCGACCGCCCAATCAGATCTCGCATTAGATATGTATGGATCTGCATAAATTGCAGCTCATGCTTATGCTTAAATCGCGCATTTGATTTTGTAGAGAGAGACAAAAGCAAGCGCGGGCGGCTTGTGTCGAAGTAGTGCACAGACCCTTTTCAAGTGGCCCATGAATAATGTTGCTGCGACAAGTACACAATTGGTCGAGTATAATGCTGCAAAACAGACTCGACGCCGTGTCTTGCGGGGGCAGGCCGGTATTGTTTCTGTTTGAGTGATAACATGGAAAATAAATAATGATCAAATTACTACTGCTTTTTTCTGTTAAGACAAGTTTTGGCAGTTCTGCAGCTCTGCAGAACTTAAGGGCCAGCCGCCCCTGCGCAAATTATTGGCACTCCAAAGTGTGTACTCCGTAGCCATCCTGCTAAGTTTCTTGAGCAAGTGCGGCAGCATGTTTTGGGAGCCCAAGTTTGAACCCGAAATATCACTCAAACGCTTTTCTTACAAGTAGGCTCAAAGTCTTTAACTGAGCTTTTAGTGTCACCTCACCACAACTATCACAGAAAATGTTCAGATGGCTCACACAGGATCGCAACGGCATTGTTTCGCTCATTTATCCTCCGACAAGCGGCTCGCTGCTTATATACCCATATCGAACATCTGGTAGTTTCTAGAAATACTGGGACTCGAGAGATCGGAAACGATTTTTGTATACAGCTACCATACAATAAGCAAATGTCCGACGACTATAGGGTACGGTGAAATCTGAATTACATAAGGTTCAATGGGTATCTAGGGGGTTGAGACTTCGTATATCACCAGATACCCCTCATGCAGGGTTGCCAGGTTGTACATACTTTCCCCAGATTGAGAGAATACGTTGACTTGGCAACGTCGTACCCCGTTATGCTATAGAAAGATCAATATCGCACAGGTACAACATTACAAATGATCAAAGCATGTTGTTGATACTCTCTGGATTCCATTAGGTGATACGTCAATTTAAAGGATGGTGTAAGGGTTAAATACGTAGAACTTATCGAAATAACGTATTTGTCTGGCGGGGGGGATTTTCGTACAGAACAGTGATTAATAGAATGAACATAAAGTCCAGGCACAATTCTTATAGGAAGAAAGATTTCAGTCAACTTGCTCCAAACTTAATGGTTATGTTCCTCAGTGATGCTGCATATGCTCATTGCACAACTATTTAAAACGATCCAGAAGAGCCAAGGAGACTTGAAGATGCAATGGTGAGAGCCGGGTATATATAACTTTATAGAAACAAAAGTTATTCTCAAAATCTGTGTCATTCCATATCTATTTAAATTTTAGGGCCCTACATGGAATATTACACGATTTAGTTTTATAGCAAAGTGGAAACCTGTGCTTGAAATTCAATATTTTTTCAAGTTCAAATTGCTTATTTGACCAATCAGCGTCGTCAGTCGTATTTATGTAGCGTCCCCTTAAGTCGTTTGAGCTGTAGTCCATGAAAGAGAAATTTTAAAGTTGAAATTTGCGTTAAGAATCCGTTTTTTTTGGGTTTTATCAAATTTTGCATTTCAAGACAAAGCTTAAGCTGTCAACCGTGAAATTGAAATTTCAAAGTTGATACCTGTTGTTATTCAGTCGTGTACAAAACCTTTTGATACTGGACTAATGATGATCGCCGATTAAAAGCTCTGCACTGTTTAATTGAATTCCTTAGTATACCGTAACATGTTGTGCAAATAGTTTTTACGTTCATAAAATGTTTGTTATCAGTTCGGTGGTAACTGCGCCATATGTTGTACAGAAGTAAAGATGCTGATAACGTCTGCCTCACCTTACTGGAAGAAATTGTTTCGTTATCAGGAATAAGTATATTCTCTTCAGCTCTATCACGAGAGCTTTTAATTGTCTGATAGATTTGTGGTAATTTGCTGTAATTAGCTTTCAGCTACGACTTAGCTTCGTTAAGTTAATTTAGCCGAGAAAAATGTAGGTAAATCAGATAGCGATAACTTTTCTGACGTTGACAGGGCTCCCAACAAGTGATCTGTTGGCCGAGGAAAAATGTACCCTCTATAAGCTGGATTCTAAATATGGATTGTGCTTTAAATTATTAGACAAAACAGTTCGTTGCTCGATGGAGATCTCAAACTCATTATGTTGTTTTAGCACGACTTCTGGCATAAAATCGGAGGAAGTCGTCTCGGTCTTGCACAGTTACAAAGAAAGGTATGGAATCAGAATTCACACAGGGTGTATAAAGTTAAGCAACAATTGTCTTTTCAGTTCATCTATATGTTGTGGCCTTGTAGGAAAGGTATAACTGATATTCTCTAAACCTAAAGCGACTGGTGAACCATATGTATTTTTCTTTTCAGTCCTTTTTCTATGGTTTGTTATTGGATCCCGATTACGCAGATGCTTTACTTCGCCACCTCAAGGCCAATCTGTTGACTTATATAATAAAACGATATGGTACCCTAGAACTGTGAAGCATAACAATCAACAGTCTTACGCCCGTAGTACCGTAGTGATACTTTTCCGGATATGGGTCTCTATACTCAAATGTTTTCTACTGTTACACTGAATAACCCCTACAAGTCGAAGAGCTCTCCTTTGAACAGATCAAGTCCTGGGTGATCTGGACTCCAAATCTTCCATAGAAGCCGGATGAGCACTAGAGCATTTGTTATTAGTCAGGGTACAGCACTGTACCAGATTGGTGTGACCCCAAGCATTGATAGCCTCCAAGTGGCTCATCAAAGAGTCTTCCTTTCTCCAGTTCACCGGCAGATATCGGCTTGTCACTCTGAATTTCTGCATGTAGATTGCTGTTATGATCAAAACTGCAGATCGGATTGATTGTACAAGAAAGGAGGTCACTGATAAGTACCAGGAATAATTTTCCCAAAGAGAGAGTCAGTCACCCATCCACAAAGCTTCTAAGGGAGGCTATATGATGCAAGTTTGCATGAGAGGGCAGCATGCCACAGCTGATCGAACGGTTTCCTGATGATAAGAGCAACGACATGAGCCTCATTATAAGACCGGATGAGTTATCAACACAGTTGCATGAAGTAAACTAGAAGGTTTCCCGTGGACCATATTGCCTGTCACTAATCAAGCCCTGCCGTTTAAGGTACCCCAGAAGCTCCAGATTAATGCACACCTCCATCACCTTACTTATAACAGAAAGCAGAGCTATAAGCCTGTAGATGTAAGGGTCGGTCTTACATCCTTTCTTTTGAGATGGACTGGACATGAGCAAATTTCCAGTTTTCTGAGAAGGTGCTGGATACTGGAAGAGACGCGAAATAACTGGAACAAACTCCATTTCACATGTGTTCACTGGTAATTCTTCTTAATTTTCAATAGAAACCAATGTCTACGTTTAAAAACAAGCAGCACCATGAACCTGCTACTCCTTTCTGCGTTACCGGCAGCAATTTCGCTGTATTAAGATCATCACGGCCATTGTGCTTCAGTCTCAGATGCCTCCTGGGGCGCATCAAAGGCCCCATAAACAATACTTGGCTGCGGCTCAGCGTGAAAGTGTCTTGGCTGGGCCTCAGCCGGCCTCCAGCCACTAAATCAACTACGGCCTCGGCGCTAAATCATTTTTATTCGGGCTGAACACAACGCATCGCCCAGTATATGGACTAATTGGAGCTTTCTTATTAATTGTACTGACGCTCCACCGTGATACTGATAATACATGGGTGTGATGAATTATTGTAGTTTGGTTGGATGGTACATTTGCATTTCCACTATTTCTTCAAGAATCCAGTGAAATTGCCGATCAGAAACAATTTTATAATCCTTAACACTCTCATTCTCACCATTAGAAGCATGCAATTTATGTCTACTTCTTGAGAACAATGAAGCCTTGCCAGTGGTACAGAGAGAGAGAGATATAGAGAGAGAGAGAGTGAGAGAACGAGAGGCTAACAACGACAAACTTCCAGTTCCTATTAGAGAGTATTTAGCGTGACAAAAATAATGAATCGATGAACATTCCAGTATTTTTCACAACGACAGCGAGTAAAAAAGTTTTTGTGGCCACTAAAATGAACCGTGGTAACTTGGCAGTAGTGACCACTGACAGTCGTGAAAGGTTGCACATTGGATTGCTGCACACCGCAGAGCTTGAATTCTGGATCAAAAAATGCCAAACATGTCATACATTGACATTGCACAACTTCAGTTATTTCAAACTAATATTTTTGTACTTGGTCTTGATAGTGACACTTGTTTTTCGACAACATTACCAACTAAAGATTGTTTCAGTTTTTCAAAAGCATATTAGAAGGACATTTAGATAATATGCTCCTTTATTGACCATAACTGTTATTTTTGGCGTGACAAAGCCAACTTAACCTTAAACTAAATTATTCAAATGTAAGATGTGTGCATTGGTTTAACACTAGCAATCTGCAGGATCGTCGAAGCTTTTACCTGTTCTAAGATGTGTCTACCAGTTTCTTGAAGTTATACCTTTTCCACTGTTTAGTTCTGCCCTGTTCATAAAGACGGAAGGAATGCTTGGTTGATAATATTATGCAACAAATGAGTTTCTGATAACTTCCTTATTAAATTAAATTCAAAAAACAAAATTATAAGACTTTTGCAATACTTACGTATACATAATTTGATGTTGGGAGGCAAAAAACGAAAAGACATATTGAAATTCCAATCAGGAAATCATGTAGAGGAGAAAATGCATACCTAAATGTTAGTATGCAGATTATTTTGAAATCCCGTCAGGAAGAAATGAAAACGATTTTGGGTAAATTCTGGTTTTCCTCCAGAAATTCTTTGAATTGAGAAACTTTCTGTGTGCCATTTTCGTAGTTACCTATATGCGTAACTGTGCCCACATGTTACCGACTTCGTTCACATCCGTGATAGCAATGATAAGTGTCGAATTTAAAGCACCCGGAAGGTATCGTTTTGTAGGGGCGAACTCTAAGAATAAGAAAACAACATTTTTGGTAATTATTCCGATTATTACTTTTTTGCATACTCCATCTGATAATTAGATTGGCGAGTGTCAATACCATTCTTGATCTTCAATGTCCTTGAAATGGAAAGGTTCGGTTTCAGGAAACATAGTCTTTGAGAAATGTTTTGCCTGAAATAGTTTTTCGCGAATATCTGATGCCAATACTTTTTTCCTACAGACAATAATTATTGTAAGATCGTGACAATCATGATACGTACGGGAGAAACGGTAATAGTCGTTTGTAAAATAAACAATCTGAAGTCAAGTGGACAGGTTGATATACAGCAAAGTCGGCGCGGTCCGTCAACAATAGCCCATTGTAATGTAAAATAAATGACGTAATACGTACAAATGGATAAACATCAAAATTTTATAAACGCTTTCATACGTCTGTGCCGTATATGGACAAGGAGGAGAATAAAGCTGATACCGGAGCCTAAGAAGTGGGATACCACCGATTTATGACCTTTTTCCCAATCGTATGGTGTCTTTACAGTGCCGTACTTCGATTTTTGTCGAAATATGTCTGTATTAGTGTAAAAGCACATCACAATATCGAAGAACTATCGCGTTCTAAAATCTGAATTAATGATGCTCTGAAATTCTCATTAAAAAGGTAAGCATATACAAGATTTTAGACACCTTTCTACATGCCAAAAACCCCGTAAAAGGTTCAGTTGACACTTGGAACGCCAAGAAAAGCACTGGCGGCAAACACATTTCAACACTCGTGAAAACAAGGGTACACTGAGGCACAGGCACTTTAAGTTTATTCGTACGTTGCTCAATCAGTTGAAAGGTCGTGCTGTGATTTTATGAATAGTCAAGTTCAGGTCAATCAAACGGTGAGCGTTTACTGAGTATTTCCTCTTTTCTACTATACTGCACTTACTTTCTAACCATAATACTTTTATATCCATGATCATGAATGTCTTAATCCATGTTTACGAAAATGATGTGCTTTTTACATACATATTTTAGTTTATACCTTACGACTTTACTACTTATTGTTATTGAATAACCGCAGGTGGGACGCCTCCAGTTTCTGGGGGTTGTTCTGGTACTTTCGGAGCCCGATTGCTGGGTTCAGGTAGGCATGTTAGTTACTGGTCGGTTTTCTCTGCCAGAGGAAATGGCCGATCGTTCGGGATGTTGATACGATGGCTTTTGGATGACGTAACGTCCTAGGTCTGAACGACCGCTTAAGTATCTTCTCTTGGCAGTTGCTGCAGTCTGAAAGGATCGCATGGTAGGATGGTTCAGCGTGATATCCTGGTTCCTGGCCTGGTTATCAGAACACCTGACGACCAAAGAGTCAGTCTGTGTGACCACTCTTAGGGCCAATTTCACCAACAATAGTCCGTTATTCTCCACCTATAGGGTAACAACCCATCAAATACAGCGAATGAGCTTCAAAATCCAATCAACAAATTTTAGCAACCAATAGCTATGAAATGTTGAAAAGAAAATATTGTCAAAATATTAGATAATATCTTGTCATTGAAACATCACCAGCTTATTGAATATACTAAGTGACATATAAATCCGAACACCCAGTTTAAATGGTTTTATTTGAATAAAATTTTGTATAAGTACTTAATGAAGCATAATAAGTAAATGATAAAAATTTCAAAATGATTGCACTGCTTTAAAGCCCTTTGACCTTTAATAATGTGTGGATGCACCCTGATGTGCTACGCATTCTCCAACGCGCCTAGGCATGCTTCCAATCAGGTGGTCAATGTCCTCCTGTGGTATCTCATTCCAGGCAACCGCCAACTCCTCTCGAAGTACTTCTAGAGTCTGAGGAGGACGTTGCAAATTGAGCAATCTCCTACCCATCATATCCCACACGTGCTCAATTGGGGATAAGTCGGGAGATCTTGGTGGCCATGGTAACAATGTGACATCATTGTGTTGAAAGAAGTCTATTGTGACTCTTGCAACATGTGGTCGGGCATTATCTTGTTGGAAAGTTGGATCTGCCAGGGTGTCAAGATAGGGTAAAAGATGGGATTCTAGAACTTCGTGGATATAACGCTGCGCGTTCATGTTACCTCGGATGAAGATTAAAGGTGACCTGGAACCATAAGCTATAGCACCCCAAACCATAACTCCAATAGTGTGATGAACATGTCATTCAACAAAAAACTGTGGATTCCTCCTTTCACCACGTCGCCTTCTAACCCTGGCACGTCCATCGTGCATGCCTAAACAAAATCGAGACTCGTCACTAAAGACAATACTGTTCCATTCCTGATCCCAGAGTGACCGTTGTCTGCACCACTCAAGGCGATTACGTCGGTGTTCTCGAGTTAAAGGGAGGACCCAGTGTGGCCGGTATGAAAACAAGCCAAAACTTCTCATTCTTCGGTAAACACTTCGCATGCCAATTGGTCTTCCGTGTTCTGCAAACCATTCATTTGCAATGGACCTGGTAGTGGAGAAACGGTCCCTTAAGGCCAATAATCTTAGGCGGCGATCTTCACGGTTTGTTGTTCTACGGCGGCGTCCAGTGCCCCTTGCTCTTTGCGTACGGCCTTCTCGAAGCCATGCCTGACAACACCTAACCACAGTGTCTACACTTCTTTGCACTCTAACTGCAATTGCCCGAAAAGAAAGTCCAGCTTCCCGAAGTCCCACTATACGGCCCCTATCAAACTCACTAAGTTGACGAAATCGTACAGGTCTCCGTACTCTAGGCATCGTAACCGATCGTAAGGGATGTCAAGAACCAAAATCCGCCAAAGTTGATTCTTTACTGCGGCTGAAATATTCATTTTTAGAGCGTTAGTGAATTGAAAAAAAGCAGTATAAAAACCGGAATGTCCAACTGATAAGGCTGAAAATTTTTTCACTTGTTATTTACAGTAAGATAAATACATTCACCAACTTTTATTAAAATAAAACCATTTAAACTTGGTGTTCGGATTTATATGTCACTTAGTATATTAAGAAATTACATATAATTCAGTCAAAATTTGAACAAATGTTTGATTTTTGAATAAAATTCATGTTTCAATTACCATTGTTGATTTTTTATTCAGGATACTATTATTTTCTTCAATTGATATGCGATTTTACTGATTCAAGATCATCTACTGGGTGTTTTTTCCTATAAACCTCTTGCAGATAGCCATTAAGCACCTACTTGGTGACTGGCCCTACCATAAAGTTCATATATATTGCTCGTTTCCAAACATTCATTCATTTACTTGCCGTTCATCAGAACCATTATGGCACCTTACATTGATATTCCCACAAAACCACTATGGGTTTTTAATATCCATACATCCATAAAGTTGAATATTTTTCGTTGTTCAGGAACTTAACAAACATCCACACTATATTCACAGCGATTAAGAAATACCCAAATATATGTCGTAGAGCTACCAGCAAACCTAAAACCTGCAGAAAAACTAGAAATTTGCAATATTTTTCTTTTTTCACTGAGTACATATTCTGGGTAATATTTATATTAGACGTTAGTTGAACCACAAAACATATACAGTGATTTGAATAACAGCTGATTATCTCCTGATATTTTTTTTAAACTAACCATATCGATAAATGACACATAATTCTGTGGGATCCGTCAACACTTCGT